CCATATTCCCCAGCAAGGACCCCCTTGGCAAGGATAAAAATGGGGAGAAAGCAACAAACTCTCACCTGTGCTCTTCTTGGGGTGGTGGATCTACTTTTAACAAACTTCTTAAATAGTTTTGACCCTGTTCTGCCAGAATGTGGGTGCAGAGCCCACATCCTGCCTCTTCCACTGCATCCAGGACTTGCAACCTCCAGTGTGCTCTAGAGAAGGCTGCTGTGGTGACAGCAGTTCGGCAGAGCTGCTCCACTGTAGAACAGCATCCCCAGGCCAGCAGGAGATGGCACTTGGCAAAGGGAGCTGGATATGGACCAGGGGAACACCTGCCTGCCTCCCCTTCACAGAGCTGTCCATGGAGCACAGACTCAGGAAACCTCAATCAAGAGCAACACGACATCCCAGCTTAATTATCTCTGCCAAGAGGTGGCACCAAAAACCCTAAGGATAGAGAGGTTTGGGAATCTTAGAGGAAAGGTTGGGGAAGCAGGGAAGATGCCAGGAGCCAGAAGCACTCTTAAGAAATGTTTGTTTATTAAACAGCAAGTGCACAATCGCACATGCCACCAAGGTCTTTATAAATGCAGTCATTCCAGTGTCTGTACCCTCCAGCAAGTAACACCTGGGCATTAGGAGAGAAACCCAAGAGCTCTCTTGGCCCTTCTAATACCTGCACATCTCCTCAGCCGCCCCAGATGTCAGCAGGCTTAGCTTGGGCTTCCTTGTTTCTCAAACAGAAACCATCATCACAGCAGGTTTTCAGCCACAGAACTGTTACAGGAAATGGCTGGCTGCAATTGTCTCACTTGTGAGCTTAGGCCAGTGTTCGGGTGTGAAAACAGCCTTGGCCAAGCCACCCAAAGCACCTGGGGATGTGCTGGGGCAGCAGCACAAGTAGCTTTTAAAAACATTTCCCCTCCCTGTACCCCCAAAAGCCATCAGATGGCCTTTTAACAGTAGTAAAAAAAAAAAATTAAGCATTTTTAATGGTGTTTAACTGCAATTGGTTAGATGTGGAGGTAACAAAGAATTTGGGGAGAAAATGGAGTGGCAAATGGTTACCAAGAAAGTAAAGCCCTTTGCCTCATGCTACTTCTCATGGCATAACTGCTGTCTGACAGGAGATTACAGGCAGGGTTTTCTCTCTTACTCACCCACCACTCAGCCGGTGCTATTCCCTTTCCCAGGACCCAAGCACTCCTGCTGCAGAGCAGCCCTCAGCTGCCTTTGGGCAGATCCGCTACCCCTGGAAGTATCCCATTACAAAGACAATGCCAGAAGGGCCTCTGGGCACAAACAGCAGTGGGTGACAGCCAAGGCAGGCCTCCCTGAGCAGAGGGAAAAGAAAAAAAAAACAGGAAGCAGCAGCCTGCAATACCCTTTTTCCCCAGGTGCATGCAGGCCCCATGCTCCTCTGTCCAGGGGAGCAGCTTCACGAGGTGGTGGAAGAGCTGGCACCCCACTGTGTCAGCATGCTGGGTTTTGTGATGCAAAGCCTGGTGGAGGCACCTGAGAAACCAAAAGCTTTACCTTACCCAGCTGCCACAGGAAGCAAAACACCCTGGAGAGATAGTTCATCTTACAAAAGCTACAGACTTGGAAATAGCAAGTCAGAAGGTGCTGTTTTATTTCTGTGTAGAGCAGAGGCTAAGCTCACTCTGCAAGGCTTTGGAGCAAGATGGGAAGCATTGCCTGCAGAGCCCGACAAGCCAGCCTACACCAAGACTGTGCTTTTTTTCCCCCCCTCCTCCCAGCTTTCCTTTTTAACTCATCTGTAAGTGGCAAATGCCACCCAGCTCAGGAGGGTTGACTGAAATGCAACACCTTCCAAGCATCTCCAAGACCCAGCCTTCATGGTCAAAGCCAGGTCAAATTCTGACACTAGCCCTGGCTGCCATTCACATCAGAGTTGTTCCCTTGCTGCAAAGGACAAGCTTCCTGCCAGTGCTTTTTATTGCAGTGACAACAGGAACAACTAGTTTGAAGTGAAGAGGGGTCTAGCTTTCACTTGATCCTGGCATTAGAAAAGAGCCTGACCCTCCTAGCATCCATCACACCCTAGTACCCAGGCAGAGAGAAAGCACTGATCCCAGATCAAGCCGAGGGGGGGGGGGGGGGGGGAACGACACACTGAGACTGACCTGAAATAAATGCAGAAAAACCTGAAAAGGCTGTTCCTGACACTGCAAGCAGGGGAAGAGTGAAGAATAGCTCAGGAACACAGTGCTTAGAGGAGAAACTTCAGAGCATGGAAACAAGGCCCTGGCTCCTCTCCTCCTTCCTGTGGCTGCGGAGGCTCTGGGAGCATTTGTGCTGGCCGGGGGG